AGCGCTCATGGACTTCGCTGGTGTACCACTATCCTCACTCTGCTGCCACATCTGGTCCTATCCTGCAACTGGACCCATGAAATACTCACCATCCACTTAGCCCTTCTTCAAAGAAAGAGGGAAAGTGCCATTTGACATGGAAGAGCACCCGAGTCTTTCAATTAATCCTCCAAAATCCCTGAGGGCCTTTATAGGGATTCATACATGTGTTAAATCCACTGTTTAAAGAGGGAAATGTAGCAGTTCCCCAGCATCTGCCTGTCTCAGTGCCATCCTAACCAAAGGCAGGATCCAAAATTCCTGTACTTCTGCAGTATTCATCTTGCCTGGTCCTCAAACCCATGTGCCAGAGGTAGTGTCCAATGCTCCACCTTCCCATCAGAGGGAATGCCTGGTCTCAGATCTCCTGCTTCGTGACTGAAAGAGGGTACAAAGGGGGACAGGATGACATTTGCATATATTAATAAAAGGGAAGAATAATGCTCTGGTTGCTTGTCCTGTAATGAATAAAATGGAAGCAGATGAGCCTGTTTACGTATAATCTAAGACACATGTAAGAGGCAGCCTCCAGTGATATCCATGTGTTAACCCCTCAGCCTCCTACCCCACAAGAAGCATTATACATCAAGTTTGACCCAATAATCCAGTTAGTATTTTGCAAATGTAATGTGATTTGGTAGGGCAAAATCCTACCACTAGGGCAAATGGCTTTTTGGCAGTGTTATCAACAGAAACGGTACCCTTCCAAACCCACAAGGCACCCCTGAATTCAGATTAGAGACACAAAGCAGCAGGGCAATATGGGTGATAAAGTAGAATGATGCTGCTCAGACTATAGCTGCTTTGCATATAAACAGAAGCCTCCAGAGCATAAAGCTAGCACCTTCCATTAACCCTAAAAATCACGTTTCTTTTTTAAAAGAACATGCTGCCTCATGTTTTTGAAAAGTTTTCTGTTAAAAGCATTTTCGGAAAGTGCGTCTAGATTGGCACGGATGCTTTTCCGCAATAGCACTTTTTGTAGAAAAGCGTCCGTGGCCAATCTAGACGCGCTTTTGCGCAAAAAAGCCCCGATAGCCTTCTTCGCGATCAGGGCTTTTCTGAGGAAAACAAATCTCAGCTGTCTTCACTGGCCCTTTTGCGCAAAAGTTTTGCGCAAAAGGGACTTTTGCCCTAATGGGAGCAGCATAGTATTTCCGCAAAAAGCACTGATTTCTTACAGTAAGAAGTCGGTGCTTTTGCGGAAATTCAAGCAGCCAGTGTAGACAGCTGGCAAGCTTTTCCGGAAAAGCGGCTGATTTTCCGGAAAAACTGGCTAGTCTAGACACAGCCTAAGGGTACGTCTAGACTGCGATGCTATTATGGGATACCAGAAAAATCTCAAAATAGTAACGCCACATCTTTAAACACTCCCACCATTTCCCAAAACAGCGGGCACGCTATTCCGGCATCACTGTAACCCTTATTCCACGAGGGTTAAGGGATTTGTCAGAATAATGACTTATTTTGAAATTTGGCATGGTCTACACGGTGCCAAATTTCAAAATAAGCTGTTTCAACCTAGACTGGGAATAAGCTACACAATTTGCATACTGCAAATTGTGTAGCTTATTCCAACAAAAGGGTGCTGTCTAGATGCACCCTAACAGTCTGTGTTAGGTATGCCCTTCCATAAGAAGGCTATATAGCAGACCATAATCTTCAATTAATTCTTAAGATAGGCAACTTGTGCCTGGGGGAGGGAGGACCAGCAGAGAAAGAGGGAGAGGGCAGGAAGGGGCACCTCATTTAGCAACTGAAATTCTGACAGGGATGCTAGGGGGTGGTGTATCTCTTAAGTGCTATCACAAGTCTCCAGTGATTCCTACCCCCAACTACTCTTCCCTCACAACCTAACTATCACCCTAGTCAACCCCCAATTTAGCTGCTTCAGAAGGTAGCCAAGTTAGTCTGTTACAGAAAAAAAACAACAAATGGTCTGGTAGCACTTTATAGACTAACAAAACATGTAGATGGTATCACAAGCTTTCATGGGCACAGCCCACTTCTGTGCTCCTTTCTTTTAACTCCTCCTTCCTGGCTTCAAATCAATTAGGTGTCATGGTGTGGGGTTAGAGACACTGCAGTTTATTAACCCCTCCTGGCCAGCATAATGTTCCCATCACACCATCTTTCCCGCATGTATTTTAAAGTGTTTTCTTTATGGATTAATATTCAGTAATAATCATAAGGCAACTAAGAGACTCACCTTTTATAAAACAGGAAAGAGTTAATACTCTCAAGAAAGAAGGCTTGAATTTTACTTGGCAAACAGATACCTGACATTTGTCAGCATAATGAGATTCACACAGGAAAAGCTTCTGACTGAACCAGACGTTTAAGTAGGTAGTGTGCTGCTATTATCGTGAAATACAAATGACATCTCTCATTCATTGCTATTGTGCAAAAAATGGGACTAGAATGATTGAAGATGTAGATTATCCTCATTAGTTCAGTGGATCTTTTAAACTACCTTAATGTATTAAAGACGTAGAATTAACTTCTCCTTAGTGATTTCTGTTTGTTCAATGAAAGGATTCTTCTTCAAGTCACATACAGTGGAACATAAATAATGCTGACGTAGGATTACAGCACGAATTACTGGAAAAGAATAGCACTGAATCGGAATATAGATATGCTGGTATAGTTTCCATAGTGTAAACATATGATAGTCCCTGCTACAAACATTGATTGATACAAATTATGTGAGCATACACATGCAAAAAGTTATATATCACTTAGGTGAATGCATATGGCTGCTCCTGTCAGCACTGCATATATACCAGGAGTGCTTGTGTTGATGTAAAATACACTACACTACAGTTAGGTACCTCAGAGTGACATGAAGACACTACAATGCCTTTTGGGACATTTTTCCAAGGTTTTGCAGTATAGCAATGGCTCATCCAGACACCTCTGGAAGCGAGGGGTCAACTTCCCAGCATGCAACTTTCTCCATCTTACAATGCCATAATTTTCACTTTTTTTAAATACACCACAAACCTACATGAAGTATTTTGGTATCTGCTATCTCACACAAAAGCATGAAGCACCTAGGGCTTTGCACTATTGTCATGGAAATTGCACATACACAGTGCACAAGTGTCCTGTATTTGCAGACCCTCAGAAAGTACCACCACCACAACTGGGGACAGGAGGATTTCTTTGACACATTGCTTCACGACATAGCAAAAATAATTCAACGTACTTGGTAGTGTTCATGGAGCATTTGCAGGCAGGGGAGTGCCACTTCTGAGCTGAGAATGAACACTGACTGGTGGCACTACACTGTAATGCAGATTTGGGAAAGAAGTTGGCAGAACTTTAGGATGTGAAAGGCCTCATTCCTAGACCTGTATGCTAAGCTTATCCCATCCCTCCAGAGTAAGAGTTTCGGTCAGGATTTCATCAGTTACATCATCCTAATAGTCTTGACTACACAGAAAAAGAACAGCATGTATGTGTAGTACTGCAGGAGAATGATGTAATCAGCTGTGGCCCCGAAAATAATAAAATCTCAAACCTTTAGCACTTTTCAGTCAAGGATCTCAAGCCCTTCACAAACATGAATTAATCTTCACCATAGCCCTATGAAGAATGTAAATAGTACCCATTTTACAGACAGGCAAACTGAGCCACAAAGACGTTCACTGACATGTCAAAACTCGCATACTGACCAAGAGCGGAGCTGGAAACAACTCAGGACTCCTGACTCCTCCGTCTCCCAGCCTAACCATTATCCTAATGATGATAACATCTTAGCGTGCTGGCCAATTAGAAAGCAACAATGCAGAAAATTATCACCTCTGCTTTCGCCTCCCCAATTGGCTTCCTTCATCAAAGAAACAGAGTCAGCAAACCACTCATTATAGGACCTTAATGAGAAACATTTATTTGCATTAAGGATTATAAAGTCCTGTGATAATCCTGTGGGTACCCCCAGGGCCTAGGCACGAGGGATCTTGCTTCATCCTTTAGAAAGCAACAATGCAGAAAATTATCACCTCTGCTTTCGCCTCCCCAATTGGCTTCCTTCATCAAAGAAACAGAGTCAGCAAACCACTCATTATAGGACCTTAATGAGAAACATTTATTTGCATTAAGGATTATAAAGTCCTGTGATAATCCTGTGGGTACCCCCAGGGCCTAGGCACGAGGGATCTTGCTTCATCCTTCCCAGTACTCCCCATCTGCTCTGTACTCCCGAGTCCCCACTCCATGCCCACCTTACCCAGCGCTCCCTCCTCCAACACCCACTGCTCCCCCTGGTCTGTGCCCCCCCCTTCCTTGCC